TAGAATGTCGTGGGTCGTGGGTAGAATGTCGTGGGTCGTGGGTAAAAAGTCGTGGGTCGTGGGTAAAAAGTCGTGAGTCGTGGGTAAAAAGGCGTGGGTCGTGGGTAAAAAGGCGTGGGTCGTGGGTAAAAAGGCGTGGGTCGTGGGTAAAAAGGCGTGGGTCCCGAATACAAAGGGGACTAGCTAACAGTCGTGGGTCGTGGGTAGAATGTCGTGGGTAAAAAGGCGTGGGTCGTGGGTAAAAAGGCGTGGGTCGTGGGTAAAAAGGCGTGGGTCGTGGGTAAAAAGGCGTGGGTCGTGGGTAAAAAGGCGTGGGTCGTGGGTAAAAAATCGTGGGTCCCGAATAAAAAGTCGTGGGTTCCAAGCAAAATATTTCCATATATTTACCTTTCTCCCTTTGGAATGCGTGTTTTTTTTTCTTCTGAGGCTTTCCCAAACTATGCCCAAATATGCATAGCTTAGAGCGCGTTAAGGCCGGGTTTTTGATATCGGCAGATCGGTTTATAAATATTATAACCAAGTGTGGATGAAACAGTTCAACTTCAAGCCCCATATAGCTCAAATATTTGGACGTTATAATCTTATAGACAGATAAATATTGTAATTCTTCAATAGGAAATAGTGCTGTCAAGCCTGTCATAAATAGCTAAATTCTGACATTCAGGGCTTCACTAATTTGTTGATCGATGTTCTTACAGTAATAAGCGAGAAATTTCCACTTGGACAGTGTTAATTTAATGCAATGTCTGTTAATTTACTAGGGAAAAATAAAAGAAAGCATTTGAGAGATTTCACTTAATTAAATACATACTTAGTATCTAACCATGATGTTGCAGTAGTGAATCTAGTGTCAAATTTATTATGTGATTTGTATTTTCTAATGTCAAACATATAAGTTACAAATATACAGTCACATAGTGACACATACAGTATTTGTAACATTCATGCTTTGACTTATCTTTCAGTAGGCTTTTGTCGGATTATTTTACCGTAGGTTTGATAACAGAGAGGTATACTTCTACATATTTCTTGAGCATCAAGTTTCAGCGAAGTCAATGGCAAGTTGGAATTTGGAAATTTCACAGCGCTTATTTAATAACAGCCCGAGTAGCATTGTTTACATGCAAGGTTTGTTCCGTTTGTAGTTTGCGATATTTCAGAAATCGTTTAGGATAGACTTCAGCAGTTTTAAATAACAGCAACATTGGTTGCTCTAGAGATATATTTTCTTGTAATGTTTACGACGATGTCGGTAATATCAACAACAAAATTACCGATATGGATATCGATGCATCACTATTTTGCAGACCGGCGATCTTCGAATTCTTTGTGTAGTATATACATGAAGACCATATATAAGTCAAATGTCATATTATTTC